ACATTATTTTACTGGGGACGGAAAGGTGAGTTGTAAACTAGCTGCCATATCCGATTGATTTCCTAATATACAGATTTAAAAACAAAAGTTGTGTCGTGGTTTTCTTTAGTTATCGGACAAAACGCGCCGAGTCGCCAGCTGGCGACCAGTTCTGAAAATTTAGTCGCCAGTGCTCAATTGTTGGTAGCATTGGCGACCAGTGAGTCGCAATTTCGAGCCCTGCCATCTAATTGTTTTTAGTATAAATCAACTAGTCGTTCAAAACTTTATCTAAATCCTCTTCACAGGCACTTCCAAAATGCCAAGAAGCATCCGTCATTTTGTTAACAAGGGCACACTATCTATCACAGGATATGTTATAGTGAGTAGCGTAGCCAATCAGCGAACAGCATTTGCGATAGAACGCTAGTAGATTAATACTAATTAAGAATAATTTTTTCAGTAATTCCAAGTTTTTAAAGTCTCGAAACTGTAAATGTCCTTCTTTTAGATTATGAGCTTGAGATTTCTAGGAGGTGATAGAAATAATCTAATTGTTTTAGTAGAATTCTAACTATAATTTATTTCAAATAACAGTTTCCAGTTTTTTCTTGACATATTATTAAAATTCGTGCCTTAGAAAGATTGCTTGGATTGAATTGTCATTTGAACTTGCAGTTGTGTGCACGCGCACATCATTTTTTCAGTAATTCCAAGTTTTTAAAGTCTCGAAACTGTAAATGTCCTTCTTTTAGTCATTTCAGGAACTTTAATTAGCCATTTGCATCAAAACATTCCTCCAAAACTTTGGAAAAATGAAAAAAAAAACGTTGCTCTTTTGAAGACGACCTCCAGCCACTGCACACTAATGGCTGATAGTGTGCCATGGCTCATCCAACCAGATTGCAGCATTTGCATTAGTGTTCAGGTGAAATTCTACTAATAGCATTTAGAATGTAGCGACTGCCTACCCACTAATAGATCTGAGAGTGCATTATTATTTTTATAGATGTATGGCTGGAAATTATAGAGCATGAACAATGTAAGTACCGCACAATGTGTCGCCAGTGCAATCACAGCCCTTTCTAAGATATAAATATTTTTGCTTTTCTGTGCTTTATTCCGAAACAAATAGAAGATGGTGTTCCGACGTTTTCTAAGATTTTGCACTTTCTGCTAAACGCAATTGCAGAGTACATTCCGTTTGTGCGCTCACTATCAGTTTTTCTAGACCTCAAGTGTGCATTATTGACTTTTAAAAAATAACTGACGTAAAAAATCTGACTCTGATTGGTCCAGGTAGGTTCCAACTTTGAGCCAATAGAAACTGCTAGTCGATCTAAGGACAATACTGATACTGATTGACTACATTTGTTCACAAACAAGTGGTTTCATCTAAATTAGTTACATGTAGAAACTTGACTTAGTTTGTTCAGTACATTACTTACTTTCCAGCGGTTTCCACACTCTAAACAAAGTACAAAAGTGGTCATTGGTTCATCGGCGCTTCGTGTTTGTAGCTGTGTGTAGGTGGTTCGCCGCTTGCCACATTTCCCGCATTTAAAAAGCGCTGTTTCTGTGCCTTGGTTTTTAGCCACTTGAGCGTCTCGAATTCCTTCCTTGGCACATTCCTGTCGAAACTGTTTCATTTCTTCACTTGCCATTTCCTGAGAAAAGAGAAATAACAGTGTGGTGATTAACAAAATTCATCAGCAAAACAGTCGAGTGTCTGGATGGCTTTTATCCACAGGCTTTACAGCTAGAACCACCTTCAACAGCATAATAAACAGTGCTACAAGTATATGAAAGTACTGCTCAATAGCTTTCGTTTGTCAAGTCACACACTGACTTTTAGCCACAGACTTGAAAGATTAGAACTACCAGGGCTTGAAATTGCGACTCAAGGTCACCAAGGCAAACAAAATTTGAGTATCAGCCTTAAGCTTAGTGCTGAAAATTGCATACACGTGAAACTAGATGAGTAAGAAGAGGAAACACGAAAAACGTAACTGGAGCTGCTATCATATTGACTATAATTTTGTATGTTGTTTTACCGTGTTCTTCCTTTAAATTTTTACTATCCTATATATAGAGCTTCTCTGTGTGTGAACTTAAAATATGTCAAAGATTGTGTACATCAGGAAAATACTAAGAAAAAAAAAAAAAACAATCAGGGTAAAAAAACAAATGGTGAACAAAAATTACAATCTGGCAACCAAACTTTTGGGCTAAGTTGCAGTTGGCTCCTTATAAAAATATTTAATTTCAAACCCTGACCACCTGTAGGTAAACAGTATCACATGAAAGTACTGCCGCATAGCTTTTATTTCAATGGTCAAACACTACGGTTTCATCAACAGACTTAAGAGTGCAAATTATGTTGGACACTTATTTAAGTTATTGTCTTTGAAAAGCCTCTTAGGGGAAAGTCAAGAAAGTATGTATGTATGTACAAAACAGAGCCAAAGGAAAGTGCTACCTATTAGAATAGTCCCTCACTTGGGTAAAGTGACAAGGTTATTGTTATGATTTGAACCATTACTTTTAAAAGAAATTTTAAAATACATCTATTTAGAGCCTTACCTCCGTAGGCATTGTTGCAAATCTTTCAGGAGAGATCTCTCCAGAGAGAACTTTCACTTTAAGCAATGGATTCTTGGCATCACGAAGGTTACTAACACGACTCCGGACACGCTGCTTGTACTTCATATTTGTGTCTTTAAACTGTTGGAATATGCCTTGACACAGAAATCAAGGAAACAAACAGCAGTGTGGAGAGCACATACAAGTTATTTCAAGGTGCATTGCTTAAATAGTGGGGATAAATTATCTATTAACAAACTGGTTTGTAAAATTTCACACTGAAACCTACCAGTATTTTAAATCAAAACATACACAGTACACAAGTACATTTGTTTCGGTGAAAGCTACTAAAAAGTCAACATCAAGATGGTGATGGTAAGCTTCTGAATAGAATCAGCTCCCAATATTTCTGGCAGACAGGAAAAAAATTCATGTTGTGCTTTTATATTGAAAATAAAAAAATATATATATATTTTGCAAAGGATACATTCTTCACATGCTGCAGCAAAGTCTTCAGGAGTAATGGCTAGAATAAGAAAACATGGATATAAGACAAATCTAGCAATTATCAACAAGTGTGTGGTTTGACAACGGGCTAGTACTGGTAGTTTGTTCAAACAAAAATAGAGATATGACAACATTAGCAAGTGTCATGAACACCGTACATAATAAATTGTCTTTGTTGCCTTCATGTGAACATCTACATTGTGTTTTTAAAAATAGAAATCGTTACACTGGCTGTGCATGTCTAGTTTCACAAAGATCTGACAACTGTATTTCACAAGTGCCGTATTGTACACTGTTCAAGATTAAATGTTATCTTACCTGCAAGCAAACCAGTCTCAAAAAATGTATTTTTATTTAAAAAAAGGAGTTAATAAGGAGTTAACAAGAGCCCAGTTCTCTACTGGTACTGCTATGTATTCTGTTTTAAGCTGTCCTCAAATTCATTGGACTGACTTGTTCAATGTAATGTAATTTGGAATTTGTATTAAAGATTAAAGATTAAAGATGTCAAGGTCATTTTGAGAAAGCACTGTCTGGCTATTTTGTTTTTTCAGAAAATATTTCTAAGCAAACTTTTATCCTGTCACCTACAGCTTTGCTGCAGTACATTCACTACACGACAAAAAACAAAAATTACTACAGAAAAGATCAAAGTTAGGTCACCTACTTGGTTCAAATTCACCATCAATCTTGAGAGAATTCACAATCATCTCCCGACACCTCCCACGTACTGAGTCACCTGTAACCTTTGGGGCTGGGAATATGACAACTTTGTTATCCTTGGGGGTACTTGGTGCAGACGATGACTTTGTGCTTTGTGCTGGGGAGCTGCTTCGACTGGATTTTTCACTGTTTGGTGTCTTTCTGTCTCCATTGGTTTCTTCACTCTTCCCTCCAGATTTCTCTGTTTCATGACAGAAACAAATGTACTCTAAGGTTTAACTTCAACTTGCCTAGTTGTTTTTATAGTCTAGGGCTTTATTAAGGGCCAGGCACTGGGCAAATTGATCGGCTCTGAGGATGATTTCGTCTGCCTGATTTGGCTATCTACTGGAAAGTTTTTCTTAAAAAGAAGTTCAGTTCAAATAGTTTTGCCTAGCTGTGAAAACCAGTTGGCACCCTGCCGACAACGTTAGTGAAACCTAGGTGTAGTAAGTCAGCAAATTAAATACATTTGAACCATGAACACTTGACATATTTCGCACATTTTTTATGATTATCTAACGATAGCAAGTGCCTCACAAAAAAACAAAAGGATTACAGTCAAACTCACAAAACCATAAACAGATAAGATATGTCTGGAATGTTCATTGTGTTATAACCAATCATGAACAAGATCTTAAACCACAGAAACCACAGAAACAGATGAGTTTCCACTGGTGATGAAACAAATTTGTTTTGTTTCAAAAGGCCTCAAAATAAATCCTCTATTTA